TGCTGCCCCCGCGACCCGACCCCGGATAAGCGGAGGAAGATGGATGGATGGATGGATGGATGGAACAAAATTCACACAAAGAGACTAGTTAACACCAAACCAAACACCAAATTTCTAACTAACTAAATTCACCTGAACATAAATAGAAAAAAACCCCTCCACCAATTAAACCTGTTGGTATATTTATATACAGAGAACTGACATTAATCAATGGATATTGTCTGCTGAGGGGTAAGAAGAAGTAAAACTTATTTTTCATACCGCCCCTCCCTCTAATTGAATTTAAATTAGCTCAAAGTCAAGTAACCTTCCTGTTAAACTTGCTTCTTTTTCTAATATTTATAGACATATATATGTATATGTATACATCTGCATACATACATGTAAACAAATCTACAAGTGCTCTTTTAGATCTCCTCAGTGCAGGTCAGGTGTTGAGTTCCTCTACTTTCCTGTCTGTACTATCCGCCTGAAACACCACTGCCTCATGAGTCTGAGCTTCTTCATATTCTGATACATTTTCATTTTATTCTTCCCCTCTCAGTTGAAAGTTTCATTGGAGTTTTGTCTCTACAGGATATCCCCATTGGTTCAAAATGGGTTTCTGTTTCACAGGCAACTCATTGCTGAAGTGGTGCCAAATAAGTTCATGAGGTTTCTCTTCTTCTATTCTCCCACTCTGCAGAAGTTGTTAATTCAATCTCTAACGTTATGCTCACTCTGCTTTTTCTCAGATGAAGGGGCTCTCCCTGCCCCTGTTTGGCTGTGTGAGAATTATCAGTTGTGCTGCTGCCATCAACACCTTTGTTTATAGATGTTTGAGCTCAGCCTAATTTTCAGTGTAGTCCTGTTTCTCTGACTGTGACTAACTAGATGTGGTCTTTTCGTCCACTGATGTGGGTGCCGGCTTGGAGCTCGTCTGCCTGGCTTTGTCTTTCCTGAACGGAGCCGCCTGTGGAGCTGGTTGACAAGATGCTTTAGTATCTCTGCTTATTTCTGTATCTCTGCTTCTGTGTCCTTGAACCCCAGTTGGCCTCAGCAGATGGCCGCTCACACTGAGCCTGGTTCTGCTGGAGGTTTCTTCCTGTTAAAAGGGTGTTTTTCCTCTCTACTGTTGCTACAAGCATGGTTGGTGTCAGAGATTGCCTTGGAGTCAATGATTTGATGCAATCAACTGGTTTTCCTTAGATAGAAAACTTTGAATAAATTTGACTGTATGATCCCGTTGAGTTGTATCTGTAAAAGGCCTTCAGATGACGTGTTGTGAATTGGCGCTATATAAGTAATCTGAATTTAACTGATTTGTATTGAATACGCAGCCAATACTGTAGTTTTCTATCCTGCTCCACCGAGTCACTTTCAGAATAATCTTGTGTCTGTTCAGTTGTATTTGATGACTTTGTTGTTATCCAGTTTCCCCTTTGTGACTAGGCAGGGGAAATTTATTGTGACTCAACAGGTGAAGCAGCAGTTTTCTAGTCCTTGGCTTAACCATGCGGTGCTGTAGGGCTTGTAGGATTCATCGGATCACATCAACATGCTCTTAAAACAATCTGGAGAAACAGATGACATCATCTAGATAAGAAACACAACACTCACCCCTAAGTGTGTCAAGCATTTCAGCCCAAAGGGTATTCGGCAGTCAATGCAAAGACCCATCCTTCTTCCTCACACAGATAATGGATGCAGCATATAGAGACTGGCATTTTACTAAACACCCTTTCAGTAATGACTCTTGGATATACTTCTTTACTTCCTTGTACGGCGGACTGGGGTTGGAAGCATAAGCCTTCTGAACAGGGAAATCATTGCTGACTCTGACTGACATCTGCAGAGATAGGATACACTCAATGTCACTGTTATTTGCTTGTCATAACAGTGACATTGGGTCACAGGTCCATGAATATTACAGTGAAATTAGAATAGATAAAGAATGCATTAGGATTCGGATTTGGCACTTGACTTTGTTCTTCGGTTATGAAAAAAAAAACTCTTAGCACCTCTGGTTTGAGAAAAGACATTTTCAATTGCAATTGACCAAAATTTGTTAATGTAGGTCATCAGTTTTGAAATAACCTTTTGAAATCTCTTCACAACAAATAAGATTGAAGTTTGAATCTGATCCATTATGGTAGTAATAACCTGTAGTAGTAGTAGTGTAACCTGAGATATCTATTCTTTATTAAGTATATTTTCTTAGATTTGATAATCAAACAGCTACATTTACCAACACATGACACAGTAGTTGTACGGAGTACATACTCTTGGTGTGTGTGTGTGTGCATGTTTGAAGTCTAGGAAGAAGAGGTCAATGAACCCTGCTGCTTACAGCTGTTAGTTAAAAGGCAACATGCCCCCACGCTATACCTGGAGGTCATGTGAACGAGTGCTGTAGTTTTAAGTTTTTGCTTTTTAGCACTCAACAGCATCTAAGATTCCATTAGATTCCAGTTTGAGTGGTTGGGAGGGCTGCATTCCATCAAAGAAAAGAAAAAAACTTTATCAACGTTTTGGAAGGAAACAAAACCCCCTCATATATGGAGGACCAATCCTGCCAATCCTAAAAATACATATAGAAATAAATGAAGGACCTAATAATATAAAATTGCTTGAAAATGTAGCTAATAGTATGAACTTGTGTGCCCTTAAATGTGACAAAATAATAAGAATTGTCATGATTTTATTCAAAGATCTGACCCACATGCAGAAAACCAAACAGAGAGGCCCGGGGAAGGTTTAACAGGTTTATTGAGAAGTGGTAGAGATGGGTCCAGTGCTGCTCTGAACACTGGCGAACCGGGACTGAAATATGAAGGGGAAGTTCCATTGTGTTTAGTTCAGGTTCAGTGGGAAATTTGAGCTTCGATTTGCAAAAGGGAATAAAGTCAACAGGACTCACCTTTCCAAAAAAGGTGTCTTTCTCCGAATCCAGTCGGTGTGGGTTGTTCCAGTAATTGAGTTGCTGGTTGGAGGGCGGACAGGGTTTACGCAGGTTGAAGTGTTTCCTTGAGGAACGGCGGAGCTGACTGCCACTTAGATTTCCAATGGTACTTGAACAGTGTGAAGCTCAAACAATCCCTTGGGAAAAAGTAGATCCAAACCTCCAGTTTGAATCCCTAGCTCAGTTGGAAGCTCAAACGATCCTTCCAGGGGGAGAAGGTCCAAAATATCCAGTTTGCATAATGACTTCCTGCCGAGAGGCAAAGACAATAAACAACAAGGGTAAACTCAGGTTGAAAAAAACTCAGTTTGACTCAGCAAAAGTCAGCTTGGCTAGAGTACCCAAAACTGGCAAACACTCTGGCGTCGAGGTAGTGGCAGTCAGCAGCTTAAGATTCCTCAGTTAATAAGGCAACCATCCGCAGGTCTGTGAGAGGGTCAACAAGAACCAGGCGCCACCTGGTGGTGGAGGGAGAACACACAAAAACACAACCCACACACACTGGATTCCTAACTAGAATAAAATATCTCTTCAACAATTGTTTATTTATTCATCTAAAACTTTTTTTTTTAACTTCCACTATTATTTTTACTTTTCTTCATGTATTTACACTGATTTATTTTTAACCCACTTATTTTCAGTTATACATTTTCTTGAAGTCTTTATTTTGTGTTTGTGTATTTATTGCAAGTGGGTTTTTTTGTTCTTTATTTCCACTGCAACCTTTTTTATTGTTTCATATTTATTCCTGCCAACATTTTTAAAAGATTATTTTATTTTTGTTTCATACTGATTTACACCACAACATTTTTAAAGCATGTTTTTACTCCACCATATTTATTTTCATTTCATTTTAACATCCTTCTATTGCTCAAACAATGATTTATTTCTGCCTTTAACTTGCTCTTTTTAAGGAAAAAACAGGGCAGCCGAAAAATCCTTTGGGTAACAAAGCATTTTTCGGCTGCCCTGTTTTTATCCTTAACTCCTTTTTCTACTTCGTCTATTTCCACTTCGTCATTCCAAAGGCATCACAGAATCAACTGGTTAACTTTTACATTTTTTCATATTTGGAAGCTGGAATTGTCTAAACTTTTAAAAGAATTCTGGACATTAACGAATGGAGAGCATTTATGAACATCAGTTTTAAGCTTTGTTATTGTGTATGTGTATGTATGTGTGTAAAAGAGCTTTTTACCCTTATTTGGATCTTTCTTGTAAAATAAAGGTTAAATAAAAAATAGTACTAAAATAAAAATAATCCTTTAAAAAACTGTAACCTTGCCTACATACTAATTGTCATTTGTTTCCAGAGAGCGAGCACAGCCATATCTTCTTCTACTGGCATCAGCTCACATGCACGTCCCACTCGCGCCCACGGTGCCTGACTCTTCAGGTGACTTGGTGTATGCTGCCAGCCTGCAAGAACTCGACAGTGTGGTTGGGGCATTGAAGGCTGCTGCTGATGAAAAGGATAAAGAAAATACTTTAATCTGGTTCACTGGTAAGACATTTGGATGATTCATATCTACCCTCAAGTGATTCATTTGTTGATAGACACATACCTGTGTCTGTGCTACAGGTGACAATGGCCCATGGGAACAAAAATGCCAGTTTGCAGGAAGCGCCGGGCCTTTCACTGGAAAGTGGCAGACAAATAGAGGTAATGAAACCTAAAGAAAGATTAATGGTCAGCTGTATCCATAAAGTCGGAGCTGATTTATATGTAATTGCTTGACTACTTATGTGGTCTTCTCTTTGCTTGTTAGGTGGGGGTTCAGCTAAGACGACCACCTGGGAGGGCGGTCACAGGGTGCCCACTGTGGTATATTGGCCAGGCAGGATCCCTGCAAACACCAGCAGCTCAGCTCTACTCAGGCAAGCACACTTTCACAAAACTCACCAAGTCTTCAACAGTCACAGTACTTTTTCACCTTTAGGATAACACACCATAACCAGGCATGCCCTACAAAATCTAAAAGAATGCTACATAACAAATGTATAAAAAACTGCTCTCTCAACCACTGCTCGTACTACTGGGCGGCGTTGGAGGCTTCTTCATCTCAAGCTCGCTCCTCTGCCAGAGATCTCGGAGATTGAGGATTCTTCGCAGTATCTTAGCTGTCCCTAGAACTACGTATTTCTCGACTCGGATGTCTGATGGTTCTCAAGGTATCTGCTGGAGCCACATCTCCAGAGTGGGAGTTAATGCCCCCAGTGCTACGATGATCACAGGCACTACAGTTGGCTTTACCTTCCAGGCTCTTTCCAGTACTTCCCTTGATACCTTGAGGAATATAAGACATCTCATATGTCTCATAAAGTAGACAGTCAGTGTTTGGTTGGGCCTCCTTTTACATTAATTATCACTTACTGTAATGTTACATGGAGGTGATTAGCTTATGGCTAATCACCTCCATGCAACATGTCATATCAATTCATCTGTGCATCATTGCACATCTGTCAAAGTGCAATGAAGGCACAGCTCACAGCTTTCAGTTCATTTGCATTGTTGCCTCAGGTATCTTGTCTTTCTTCTGAATCTAAGGAGTTTAGGGCAGGCCAATATTGGTACTGATGACATCGTGTGTAGGGGTGTGCAAAATAATCGTCATGACGAT